CTGGTTCCTTGGAGATCTCCATGTGTCCTGACATCTATTTTACCCCATCTCTGATCTGCTCTGATAGATTCAAAACACACCCTACACTAACCCTTCCATTAACATAACAAAGACAATCATTCCCAAATGGGATTATAATCACGGCACAGAAGTTAGGATTTACAACACATATTTTTGGCGGACATAATTCAATCCAGAACAAGAGGTTATATAAAAACTTAATCAGCTTTGTTAAGTAAAGAGAAATATATGGGTTGGTTGAAGCAGAAAAGTAGTGGCACTGACATCCTCACCTTCCACTGAGAGGTGCAGGGACACTAAAGCTGAAGGAGGAACATCAACAATGGGAACACTGCCAAGTAACAGAGATAATCAGCAGAATTAAAAATAGAACTATCAACCATGGTGGTGGGAGAAGCAATGCAGAGATGGGTTGTAAGTAATTTAAGTAATGGGAGTAAGCTAAATCCTTATCTTCCAAGGAAACAACGAATAGCGATTATCTAAAACTCTAAGAAGACATACGTATACAAGCGTATTACTATAAGCATATTATTCAGAACTATGGAGTCAATCAGCAGGGGAAAAAAAACGGTGAGGATGGAATCTTCTAGAGAGGGGGAAGGAGGGGAAAGAGGGGGAAAAGCTTGTTTTTCAGAGTACAGTTTTATACTACTTGATCATTTTTTAAACAACACACATGCCAATTATGCTGTTAAAATTAAAAAAATAAATGAATAAGCCCAGTTTTCTAACAGAAGAATCTAGTTTCAAAAATAATGCTTTTATTTCATTAATTGGGAAAAATTCTATTCTTATTACAAACACTAAGAGAAGCTTAATAATATCCATCTGAAGTTACTTGTGTTTCATAAGACAGCTCTCTCCAATTAAACATTACTGCAAAAAAAAAAAAAAAAGCTATGTTATTCTTCTATTGCTGTGTAACAAATTACCACCAATTTAGAGGCTTAAACAACACAAATGTATTAGCTCACAGTTTTTTGTAGGTCAGTAGCTTGGGCACGATGTGACTGGGTTTTCTGCTCAGGATCTTAAAAGGCTGAAATCAAGACATTGGCGGAACTGTGTTCCTTTCTGGAGGTTCTAGCGGGAAAAATCTACTTCCAAATTCATTCAAATTTATTGCTCAAACTCAGTTCCTTGTGGTTGTAGGATTGGGATCCCCATTTTCTCAGTGACTGTTAACTGGTGGCTGCTTTCAACTCCAAGAAGCTACTCGTATTCTTTGTCATGGATTTCCTCCATCTTGGAAGTCAGTAATGGAGAATCTCCCTCATGTCCAATCTGTCTTGCCAGGAATCTTTCACCAGGAAGAGCTCCATCCCTTTCAATGGTTCACCTGATTAGGTCAGACCAAGGCTAAGCTCTCTATCTTAAGGTCGACTGATTTTTTACCTCTAAAAAATCCCTTCACAGCAGCACCTGATTAATGTTTAATTGCATAATTGGAAAAGGTGTACGTAAGAGAAACAGTGGGAATGTTAGGAGACATTTCAGAATTCTGCCTACTACAGTAAGTAAATCAGGATTAATAATCTCTTCAATAGAAATTAACAGGTTATTTTACTTGACTGCCATTTTGGATTTCATTTTCACCTAAAAAGTACAGGCAGTCCCGGGGTTATGAACAAGATCAGTTTCTGAGTCTGCCTTTAAGTCGAATTTGTAGGTAAATCAGAACAGGTGCATATGGTTCTTATTCAGCCTTACTTCAGTGTAAGAAAAGGCTCAAAGCTTTTTCAGTGATTTAAAAGCTGCATGTGCAGCAAGTGAAGGTGATTGTGATGAAGAATTTGCTGCGAGTGGGGGTTCATTCAATCGTTTCAAAGTGAGGGCAAATTTACCTAACATTAAAGGGCAAGGTGAAGTTGTCTGTAAGTCGGAAGTTCCTAACCCAGGGACTTACTGTAAAGGGTATTTCGGTAATACATTCTGGTAAGATAGTCTGTTGTTTAAGCACAATCCAGAATTTAGGAACAACTGAAAAGATTAATAAAAGCAACATGGAAACTAGAATTCTAAAAGCCAATACTAATTATTTTAAAAAGCCATTTCCATCATATCTAAGTAGTTAATATATCTTATTACATCCTGGTGATTTTTCAAATCATTTTAATCAAAGCTTAAACAATGCCCCAAGGAGGACTGAGGAAGCACTAATCATTTTAACATGCGGAAAAACTGATTTGTAGTTGTTTGACAATGAAAATAATTTTCATATTATCAGCTACTCTCCCAAAATTACCTAGGAAATATGCTTTAGAGAAAACCATTGGGAAGAAATCAGACTAAAGATTATGAAGAGGGAAAGCTATCAGCACTAACTAGGAGTGTATTCCATTAGCTTTGCTAATCAAGACAGTATACTGCAGTTTCATAGATGGTAAAGTGTATTCTTTTCTGTGCATTCTTACTGCCGTTCTCCCTTTCCTTCAGATAATCTTTAGCATTATCAGCCAGTGCAAGAGAGTACAGGACAGGAGGTTAATTAACCTCGGTTCTCATCTTGCTTGTGCCTTCCTTTACCTATGCAACTTCGGACAAACCATTTTTCTCTGGCTTCACTAGCTGTATCTGTAAAATAAAACCATTTTAGAATTTTAGAGCTGAAATGAAACTTTGAGATCATGATCTTTAAAGTTTCACCAAGCTCTAAAGTAATATTTACCTAAACACCAACTTTTAAAAAGGGAAAACATCCCACCTAAATATAGAAATGTGTTATTTTATTGGTTCTTTCGTTTTCTCGTTGGAAAAAGTTGTCACCTTTATCACTTTTAATTTTACATTAAGATTCTGCAGATGTTTTAACATCTCAATAAACGAAGCTTCTAGATCCTGCTTCTATCCTCGCTGCAATTCAATACACTGAAGTACTTCCTTTGCTTATGTTCTTGATTTCTTTATTTACATCATTTAAAATAATTTCACTTCCCTACGAGATTATAAGTACTTCCAATTCCAAAGCTTAATGTATTAAAATCAGCTCACTATTTCTGTAATAAGACTTTGTCACCTTGGTTGGCATGATCTACAAAAAAGGGAAAAGGCAGAATTTACAATTATGCCATTCTGAATTTTAACATTGTAGTGGCATTTCTGTACCTTGGACACAATTTAACTCGATTCACATTTTCTGCCCATGAGCTTCCTGGGGGCATCTTTATAACCTTAATACATACCACAATGCTTAGAACTTAGTAGGTTTTCAAAAAGTATTTCCAAATTGAGTATAGATCATACACAGTCCCTTCTTTCAAAGAGCTTCCAATCTAGTGGGCAAGATGGAAATGTGACAACAGAACGAAAGAAAATACCACATCACATCATAGGGCCTGTGATACACAGAACGCTAAAGATGTCACATTCTAATCCCAGAACCCATGATAATGTTATTTTATGTGGGAAAGGGAGTTAAGGTTGCAGATGAAATTAGGGTTGCTAATCAGCTGACATTGAGATAGGGAAATTATCCCTTGATTACCCAGGTGGGCCTAATCTAATCACCTGAGCGCTTAAAATAGGAAGAGGGAGGCAGAAAAATCAGAAATTCCAAGTGAGAAGGACCATGTCTACCTGTGAAGCAGGGCTTCAAACCAGTTTGTTCCGGTTTGAAACCCTGCTGAGAATTTGCATGTCCAACCCAGATATACTGAATCAGAATCTACATTTTAACAAGATTCCCAGGTGATTCTTACATATAATAAATTTTGAGAACCACTGCTCTACTAGTGGTTCTCAGAACTGGTCTCTAACCAGCAGCATCAGCATCTCCTGGGAACTTGTTAGAAATACAAATTCTCAGCAGGGGTTCAAAACTGAAGGAAATGGTTCAAAGCCCTACTTTGAAGACGGAAGGGGGCCTCTAGAAGCTGAGAACAGCAAGGAAAAACTTTTTTCCTTAGAGCCTCCAGAAGGAATAGCCTCGCCAATACCTTGATTTCTGGACTTCTGCACTCCAGAAGTGTAAGGTAATAAATCTGTGTTGTTTTAAACCGCTAAGTTTGTTATAATTTGTTATAATACCAAGAAGAAAGTAATATAGGGCCACAGTATTGGTTCCAGCATGGAAAAGGCTTCACTGCAGTGGTTTTGGGTACAGTTGAGTAAAGAGCTGTTGTGTGGTTACACTCCCATTTTACTCAAGCTGTGGTCCCTTCTGAGAGAAACTCTGGCATTAACTAGCAGTTGATTGGAAATGCAGGATCTTGGGACCTCAGACCTACTGAGTCAGAACCAGCATTGTAACAAGATCCCTGGGTTATTCTGATTCGTATTACAGTTTGAAAAAGGAGCCCTGGTGGTGCAGTGGTTAAGAGCTCCGCTGCTAACCAAAAGGTCAGTAGTTCAAACCCACCAGCTGCTCTGTGGGAGAAAGATGCGGCAGTCTGCTTCTGTAAAGATTTACAGCCTTGGAAACCCTATTGGGCAGCAGTTCTATTGTCTTCCAGGGTCGTTATGAGTCAGAATCTACTTGCAGCAATGGGTTTTTGGTTTTACAGTTTGAAAAACATTAGGCAAATATGTTAAAAACGATTTTTAAAAAGTGGAGAAATCTTTGATTCTTTTTGACATACAAACTTACTAAAAAAAAAAATACGTAAAAACCCCCACCAAGAAAAAACTCTAGGGAACTATTTGTTACTATTGACAAAGGAAACAAACATTTCTACTGCTCTGAAGTAATGAAGAAAGTCCTTCAGTAAAATCTACCCCCTCAACAATGGGTTTTCCTTCTTTGAAAATTCCCACAAGTTGAAAATCTTTAAATGTCAAAATTTTATTATCTTTAATATTAGAATCCCTGGAATAATACTCAGAGAGCCATCTTGTGGGGATCAAATAATTTCATTTGCATAATATATTTTCTTTAATTACTTTAATAAAAAAGACAGCAATGTTCTGTATTTCACATAATACTTGAAAACAAAGTTCAAAATCCTCTACTAAGTATTTAATGAAAATAAACAAATGCATTGAAGGGTAGTGATGACTACAAATTAATACTACTAAATCATTACTCATGCCTTTCGCATTAACAATAATGTTTGGCTGTTGAGTGGAGACACTTAGCTCAAATAGAATCTGGACGTTTTAAAACTACATTTTATTCAGCTTTTATCTTTTTGCTAATTCTTGTGCATGTATTCAAGATGACTGTAAGATACTCAGCTAAAGTCATACATACTTCAAAGATGTCAAAGCAGTCCTCCACTAATTACATGGCCTTGCCAATTATTCTATCCATTTATAAAATTAAAGCAATGAATGACTGAATGAGTCATTCTAGGTAAATAATTCAGCTACAGAAGAAAACATTAACAGAGAATAAGTGGTTAGAATAAGAAAATCAGCAAAATCAATAAAGATTCACAACTATGTAATATAATTTGGTTTGGTTAGATCAATGCAACTCATTCAATAAAGTCAACAATATTGTGAGGGAAGGAGGTAACAATCTAGAATCCTGTTTTTAAATGCTCATACAATAATCCTATTTCAATCAACCCACAAAGTAAAAGCAGTGACTCCACATTAACATTATAACATATATCTAACAATAATATAAATGTCAAACAATTATCAGTACTTTTATTTTTCTGTAAAGTGCACAATTAAAATTTCACAAGACTGTGCACTTCTGAAACTTATGATCACTGTGTACAGTGTAGACAAAGCAGGCACCTCCCATTGTAATTTTTTTTTTTAATAAATAAAAGCACATTAACAAAAGAAGGTAAGCAGCACCTGAAGCCTTTGACATTTATAACTAAACGCTGGTACCCAAGTGGTCTAGCTGGTTAAGTTTTGCTAAGAGGTGCAAAAAAAGGAGCGAATTTTTGACTTAACATTCTAGTTTAGTGGAGACAAGCCTTGTCTGGGCTTCCAGTCCAGTTCTTCCTGATGGCAAACGGCATATCAGTCCTTCCAATGTCCTATACTTTGGAAAGCAGACCCGACTCTGGAGCGCTTGCCTTAATTAGATTCTGAACTTCCTTGAATTTTGGATGGTCTTTATCAGCCACCAGCTGTAGCAGAACAGCCTCACTTGTGGTAACTATGATCCCCGTTCGAGCAAGACGCTTTAAAAAAAAAGAAGATAACATAAAGACAAAGAAAGAAGTGAGCATGAGAAAGAACACTATTTTAAAACGGCAAAAGCATGCTGGACCAAAATAATTAGTATCCTCTATTAAAACCACAGTAGCTAGCCACACTATCAAATTCAGTGATGGGGACAGATTTCCAAACTAGCCACACTGCCAATCTGTTATGATTATACCCCCAATATATGACAAATGAACTAGAAACAACAGAAAGCAGGCAGTCAATATTATGACTTACCCGTGCCAGGGATAGGAGGGTAATCAAGGCTAAAGACTAACAAAAAGAGACAGAGAAAGGACTGGTGTGAACTCCATCCCCATTACTGAATATTTTCACAGCTTTAATTGCCGCTATTTCCTAACCACTACCTGCAGATTTGAGCTTCCCCTCTCATTCATTCACTCAATTGCTTTTGACTTACTACTGAACTTATTAAATTCTTTTATTTTTATTTATATCATTCAGATAAACTGCCTTCTTTCACATTTCTTCCCTCAGCAGTTTAACTGAGATATGAGATCATGATGTGTGTGAACGTTTTTTATGCCTGGCATTTAGCAGCTATTTATTAAAAAAAAAAAAAAAAAATTAGAAGGGGAGGAGTAATACTTCTGAGGCTTCATTAGCTAGCTATCTAGAATATTTCTATTTTATTATCCAATTTCATATAACTAGTTTTTATGTGCATTAAAATTACTTTAGGAACTAAAATGATCATTCTCAATTTCTTTTTTCTGCCCCAAACAGCTGACACATAGCATGCAACTCCTTCCCATAAAAGTGCCCTTGCCTAGAAATGAGTGATGGTAGAAGAGCCTCCTGTGAGGTTTAAAAATGTGCCCCTAAATGATAAGTACACCACCAACATAAACTTTTTAGAATCACTACAGTATAAAATTTAAGGTTGTATAGAGTTTCACTGACAGGTCAAAGAACGCCCTTGCTAAATTGTTCCAGTGTAATCGTATTAAAAACCCATTGCCATCGAGTTGATTTCAACTCATAGCAAGTCATATAGGGTTTCCAAAGAGTGGCTAGCAGATCTGAACTGATGACCTTTTGGTTAGCAGCCGAGCTCTTCACCACTGTGCAACCACGGATTACTTAGAAAATCTCAAAGTACTGTGTGCTGGTTTCAGACAGACGAATAGGGAATATACAGAAGACTAGCTGCAGCCCAGTTATGTGAAAGTGGCACAGAATGTCAGTCAACAGACCTGCATTCAAACCTAGCTCTCCCTCTGTGCCCTGTCCCGCCTTCCTTACTGCTCCTTGTTGAATCAGTGGATTTTCAATGACCCAGTCTGAATCTGAATCACAGACTTACAATGTCTGTGAAAGCGCTTCATAAATTCTAAGGTGATCTCCAACAAAGATCAGTTCTCACTAATTTTTCTAGTTCCTTAGAGAGGCAAAACGGAGAGAAAACTGTTCCCAGGTCTGAGGAAGAAATCTGGTGATCCAGAAGAAGCCATTCTCAAATGGCCAGCTTTCCCTGGTGCTCTACTGCCCAGGGTCTGGTCCACTCCACACCAACAGTCCTCAGTGGTGCTGAAAATCAGGCCACCTGGCGAGGCATGCCGGAACACTCTCCACTTGTCACAGAAATCCTTTTCAGTAAACTGAAACCTCTGTATTTTGTACTTAGCTTCAAGACTGAAATGTGGCCAATACTATTTGGGTTTAAAAATAATCTAGCCAAGAACGTGTGTTAGGGGAAAGCATGGCTTAGCAAAATGCAAAGTATTTAGATCTGGCTCCTAGACCTTCCCACAGTGCCTGCCTGCCCTAGCCTGAGGGATGTCTGAGGAGAAAGAGAGAGAGAACAACAGGGCAGGTCCCTGCCCACCACCCTGAGCTTTGAGAATACGTACAATGCTGAGTCCTAAGCTCACTTTCTTTCCTGGCTTAAAAAAGGGGCTATTACAACTCTAGCTGTTTAATGCACATGGCTACATATCTTAATAGGCTTCCAAAGTTCTTCCTTACAATTGCAAAGCCAGTCCAACTAGGCCAAATGAAAAGAAAGGTTGCTCTGACCTACAAACCTAAAAATGCAAAAGCACAAAGTCATGACAGCGTCAGAGAGGGAAAAGGAAATACTAAGCCTATTCAATTTCCAAGAAGCACTAAAAACTATAAGGACATCAAGAGAGAGTTTTATTCTATTTTATTCATTTCCTCTACAATTATTAGTTGAAAGAAATAATGTCTGGCGCATGGTAGATGCTCAAAAAACATTTGCTGAATAAAGCACACACCACAGACTCTGGTACAGCAGAGGTTTCAATAACGGTAGCTATCAATCTTAATACAGCAATCTTAGTAGGCAATAAGGTTAGTCTCAGGAAAAATCTTTAGTTGTGGTCTAAACAAACAGAGAAAGGGAGATGGCTGCATTGCTAAGTAACTTTCAAAGTCACAGAATAAAAGAGAAAACTTGACATTTTTCTCAATATAGTAGGGACAAACTAAATCACCTCCATTTTAAAGTAAGACTAAGGAAAAACAGAAGTATGGCAAATTTCCCCCATTACCACTTGACCTAATCTATGATACTTTTTTTTTTTCCCTTTCAACCTCAACACTTTCAACCAAAGGCAATGCTGGCTGCTCCAGGCCCTTTCAAATACACCCCAGATAACAGATCCTTTCCTTCTCCAGATTTCTCAGGCCTCGTCTCTTGTGGGTCTTAGAGGAGGCTTGTACATTTCTGATAGACTACCTTCATGAAGACAACAAAAAATAACAAAAAAAAAAGCAGCAGCTAATATTTGAGTGTTTAATGTGTCAGGCACTGTACTAAGTGCTATCAATACATTACTTTAATCTAATCCTCAGAAAAATCCTATGATGTAATGGCTATAATTATTTCCATTTTTTGAGTAATCTGAGGTGTAAGGTTAGATAACTTGCTCAAGGACACAAATTTACAAAATGACAATAGAACCTGCATTAAAACTTTTTTATCACCCCTCTTGCTCGGCTCCTAATCAAGGAGATTACAGACTGCCTCTCTAAGAATGATGTTCAGATGGTAAATAGCTAACTATATTTTTATTGAGTCTCACGGAAACATAGAATTAACCATCAAAATTTTCTGTGACAAATGTCATAATAAAGACATATCTAAGAAACTTATATGAATGTAGGAAAAAAGTCCTTGGCATTTCTAAGTAAGGAAGGTTTTTACTTTGTTTTGTTCATAAGTTTTTAGTTTTCTTACTTCCTTGGAAACACTTCAAGTTCTGGACCTCAGCATTACAATAAAAGTTATCCAAAGATAAAAAAGTACTGTTTGCTGAGAGGGTGAGGATCTGTCATAGGAATTGTTTAAACTCAGGCTACTAAGGAAACTCACCAAGTGGGAGTTGATTAACTCATGACTGTCAGATGGCTTAAGGATCTCTGCTGAGACTGGAAGTAGCACTTTACTTAGTACCTAGCTACCAGGGAAGTTTCAATAGTTCAAATAGATTTGAAAATAGCTTAAAAAAATAAATAAAACTATTACCACCTATAATCCCAATAACAGGACTCACTGCTTCAGAAATAATAGAGAAGGATGGCCAACCAGGGCCTTAACTGTTGTCGCCAGCTACCCCTTGCTTCTGCATCAGCCCTCCCCCACTGCCCTTTATTCTTCTTTTTTCTCTGACTAGCCCTTACCCTTTCTAATAGCTTTGCTTTATCTTACCACCCTAGGGAACTCTTTCGGCTAACTAGATGATTTAGCAATCCTGTAGAGAAAGCAGGTCATAGATCAACCAGTACATGGCACATTGGAGGGTCTCAAAAACAATCTACATTTCCCACTGTTAAAGAACTCAGCAATTTAAATTCACATGGACAGTCCTCTAACATTATTACAGAATTTGAATTAAATATGGAAAAAAAGAGACTCACAAAATGAAGTGTTTCAAAGGATTGTGTGGTAGTGTCCTTTTCCACAGCCTTGGATAGAAAATGCTTATGTAAGAGTACCGTTAGGCAATGATGACGAAGAATGATTGATTCCCTGACTCTGTGAAACATCTTGACATTCTTGTGTCAGAGAGCCATGGAACACTGCGTGAGTTGTGTCCACTTTGACTGACATTATCTCCCACCCCCAGAAATGCAAGTCACAGGAAATATTAGGCAGAACCAGGCTTTCGCCCAATTTGCCCTAGTTTTTTGGCTAGATCCTGGCTGAGTTAAACCCAGTCAAACTGTTTTTAACTTTCAAATCTCTAAATAGTTCAGGCCAGGCCTCTTGGAATATCTCAGTTTATATATAAAACTATAGGGAAATTACAAAAAGGTATAAAGGAGCTTTTGGCTTCACTAGAAATCTAATTCTAGGGAAGACACAAGAAATAAAAAAGGATATGGTGGCAAAACCTCAAATGTCAGTCAGTGCAGTCAACTCTCTGAAAATCAGTGAGTCTGATATTGTCAAACCAAGCTAAGTTAAAGAGGTAAACCTTTTATTGCTATAAAATATTCAATACTCTTTAAATTTATTTGGAAAAGTTAATCAGTGATTTGCTTTAAAGCCGGTCAGTCACCTCAAGAGCAAACATCCGATCCATCATGCTTCTCGATGAGGTGGCGTCAGCGACAATATGAACCTCAACACCTCGGCCAACCAGCTCCAGAGCAGTTTGCTGGATGCACACATGAGTCTAGCAGGAAAGTAAAGAATCATACATGGTAAACTAAAAGTATTTTACACATGTCCAACAACATGATAAAGAAGAAAGAGTACTACAAATCTAATGATCTTGTTCTAGACCTGGTTTTGCTTCTAGTTAGTTAGGTGATCTTGAGCATAAACCAACATTTACTTATTTGTAAAATCAGTAATGGGACTATATCGATGTTCCTCCTATTAGGAACTTTGAACATATTCTTAGAGTTCTGTAAGAAGTTTTTTTTTTTTCTTTAGGACTTTCATCTGTGTCATCTGGATGATCTTCATGTAGCTGACTGCTACCATTCAGTTTTGGTGGCACTTAACTTTCGTGTTTATTTCTACACATTTCTATACTCATGCCAAGTAGCAACCACAAATAATGATTCTGCAGTACTGCAGATACAGAAGAGTGGAAAAACTAAGTCGTTATAAGGTACCCAACAGGAAAGGTTGGCCCAACTAAAATTAATTTGTGACATAGGGAAAAAAAAATCCAGTCTGTATCACCAGTAAATGGATTCAACATTTGAAAGTACTAACTTGTAACAATTCATTAGCAGAGATATATGAGTAAAAACATGATCTAGCAATAACTAGATTATATAACCAGTGAATGTAGATTTTAATACCACCACAATGCCAACCTTAACTTCACATTACAAGAGAGCTTTGGAGAATTATCAGCTGACAGCTCATTAAAATTAGCATTGGAGGCCTGCTCAAAGATAATTTTAAGCACGAGAGACAATTACAATGAACAAGCAAACAAAGTACAAAAGTCAGCAACAGCATTTGGTACAACATATTTATACAAATAGCTTCCTCTATATTCTCATTATTGAAGTCAAAATATAGAAAAAATCTACATTTAAACCTGAGGCTACAGCTACATCTTTCTACTACTGAAAGCTACTACTATAAAACCTACTATCAAATAAGCATAGAAATATTAATATTATTTTGATCTCATGGTGTTTATAATTTTGTTCATAATTTTTTTTTTTTAATTTCAGGTTAACCGACGTTTAAAAGCTATGAACAAATACCAAGATTCTGTTTGTCCATGTTCAAAAAAAAACCACAAAATCAATTTAAATCAACATTAGGAATCCATGAGGATTTTTTTTTCCTTTTAAAAAGCATGTACATGATTCAAGTTTGAAAAACAATGAACTACTTGACTTTTAAGGTTGTTTTAGCACAAAAATATGATCAAAGCAAAATACCACAAGACATAAATAAAAATAATGCCTTTGGCGAAAATGTGTTTCAAACTAGTGCTTAAAAATTGCAGGTCCAGAAACCAAACAGCTGGATTCAAATCTAGCTGCCTGCTTTACTAGTTCTACAATCTGGGGCCCTGTGCTGTTTCTTCATCCATAAATGGGGGGACTAAGAGTACTTAGCTCATTAGGTTGTTGTGAGGATTTGAGTTAATAGTGTTTAGATCAGGGCCATATAAACAGTCAATACCTAATAAATGGTATCTACTTTTCATCATTATTACCACTTAAATGGTATTGCCTATACAAAACTGCATTCTGGAAATATTAAGTTTTCTGCAAATAATATCAAATCCAAAACAAAACAAGTACTTACTTCTACTCCAAACAATACAACACTCCTGACTCCAGGAATCTCTGCTAACGCAGCCTCTACTTCTGGTAATACCATTGAAAACTTGGTCTTCGGAAGTACCAGTTTTACACCTGTTAAATCAATTTCTTGAACAGTACTTCCAAGACCTTTAGGATACTGTTCTGTTACAATAACTGGAATTCCTAAAATCCGGGCTCCTTGCAACTGTCAAAGCAACCAAAAATGAAAACAATTAGCAATATATATACACACATCTGTATACATGAATGTATATCACACTTCAGCAAACTGGAAAAGATAAACAACATACCAATCTTTGTCCCACACTAATAATATCCCCAAAATACTTGATGGCTGGTCTGAACCTTTCCTGCATATCACAGCAGAAAAACACAGTGCTTGAAGGTGTAAGATTTCCCAGGGTAGTGAGCTGTGGGTAAAAGAGAAAAAGAATGATTTAGCACTTGTTATACAATGACATTTATTTTCAGTGGAAGCCTATAAAAAAAGAAAAATTGTCCTACTATCTGATCCAGTCAATTTTTACAGCTCTTAACCAAAAGAAATTATCTGAAGTACAAGGAGAAAAAATATTCACAAGGATGTTCACTGAATTGCTTATAATAATGAAAAATTAGAAATAAACCAATATAGAAATGGTTTAACAAATTTTAATATGTTCATAGGATAAAATATTTCTAGCCAATTAAAATAGGATCTGTATATGTTTTCGAAGAATCTGCAACATCAAAGGAGAAGTGTTCATAATATAATGCGAATAAAATGTTGACCACAGTTCAACAGCAGTTCAGTCATGTAAAAAATATGAGCAAAAAAGTAAAGGCAAATACATGAAAATATTAACAGTGCTTACACAGAAGTGGTTTAAGATTACTGGTAATTTTTTTCTATATACCGTTCTTATATTTTCTAAATGTTACTCACAAAATATGTATTACTTTAATAATCAGATAAAAATGTTACAATAGTAAAAAGCCTGAATTCGATGGTAGCGTTGCTTACAAGTAAAAAGACTGAAATTTAAAATAATCTGTGGCAGAGACTATGGAACATAAAAACTAAAAACCAGACAGAAACAAATCCAGAATTAGTACTATCATCAAGAGAGAAATAGTACGATGGATTCCCTGGGTAATGCAAATGGTTAACATGCTGGGCTGCTAACTGAAAGGCTGGAGGTTCAAGTCCATCCAGAGGCACTTCAGAAGTAAGGTCTGGCGATCTACTTCCAAAAAATCAGCCACGAGAAGTCCTATAGAGCACAGTTCTACTCTGACACGCAAGGGGTCACCAGGACATGGCAACTGTTTATTTTAACCAGTTTTTAGAGTTTCAAGAAACACAATGAAATGATGCCAAGCACATCACGATGGTTAAATGAAATGCTTTGTGCTTTGAGAGGAACAGGTATCAGTTTAACATGTGCATTCTCAAACATATTTGTCAAAATCAGGAAAGTCAATAAAAAAAGATGAAAAATGGGTATTATATTACTAAGCATCATATTAACTGCTGTAGTTGGTCTACTGTAACAAGTTGGGTCCCATATGGATCTACTGAAAAGCAAAAATCACCGAATTCAAGAAGTTAATCTCACTAGACTCTTAAAAGTCAATGGTACTTTCAGTTTTATGTTCTCACATTCCAGAAAGCTCGGTAAAGCATGTGTTCTGATCCTGAACCAACCAATACAATTCCTCTTACCACAGTATGATCTGTATTATTTATTATCTTTATGGCATTATTTTCAGAATGAATCATCATTTATGACTAAAAAAACAAAAAAAAACCAAAGCTGTTGAATCAATTCCAACTCACAGTGACCCTGTAGGACAGAGTAGAACTGCCCCATAAGGTTTCCAAGGAGTGGCTGGTGGATTTGAACTGCTGACCTTTAGGTTAGCCGCCAAGCTCTTAACCACTGTGCTATAAGGGTTCCTCACTTATGACTACGTATTTTAAATTATCAGCAAACATTAAATCTTGGCTTATGAGGCTCAAAGTTTGTATATTTTCTTTTTATAAATCTGAACTATGAGTTCCTAATTGCCCATAATGTGTTTAGGGCACACTGCTTAAATCAGCTTGCCTGCAATTAAAATTATAGTGGTGCAACTCAGCCAGCCTCACCATTCTACAACAGGTGAGAACCAGTAAGTATGCAAAATAAGGCTCCTGTGCAGTTACATGGGTTGGTGGCCATGCACTACCATGTTTCAGCATACACTTGCTTACAGCTCTGGTTCTCAGACCCTACCTTGGACTGTTATAAACAGTAAATCAGAAAGGAAGCCACTGGAGGTAGGCAAACTGAGTGCAGCAAAAAATGATAGCTGACAGACAAACGATTCAAGATACAATAAAAGCGTATCAAAACTTAAATCTAGGCCTCTAGTGAAGGAGTAACAAGCTGTATATAACTCATAAATTGGGAGAACTTCACCACTCTAGCACCCTCATTAAGAAAATGTTAAAATAGGTAACATTTCAGAAGGATTACAATATAAAATGATCAAAGTATTTTGAAGTTGGGACATTTAAAAGAATAAACCCTTTCCTATCGAGAAATCCTGACTATTCTGAGAGATGTGGTCTCTTGGGCTTCACATTACCTAGTGCTTCCTTGCATGGCATTTCAGCTGTTAGGTATCCTGTTCTGGGCAAGGGACCACCACATCAGATGTACGTCAGATCAGACACAGAATGAGGAGGTCAGCAGCATATGCAGCCCTGAAATCCTCACCACGCTGCAAAACCTTTGTAGAATGGGGCTTATCATCAATACACTTTCAGTAAATGAAGCAAGAAACCACAAAGACAGTGGCAGAGCATGTTACTGTGCAGAATGACTGGTTAAAATTTAGTGGTTATAGTTTAGTAAATTAAAAATGCCCTACCTTACGTAGATACTCTCCCCTCAAGGAGCTGGAGCTTAACTCCCCAACCTCCTTGAACTGTGGGCTGCACTTAGTGATTTGCTTCCTAAGAAGAAGAGTACAGAAACAGGATGGGGTGGGAGAAGTAACTTCACACTGGAGAAATGTGGCAAACCTGGCCTCAGCCAGCTGATTAGGGTTAACATCACCAATAATGTCATGTTGATAGTACATACTATCTTGATCTGATGTGATAAGAATGACCTCTGTGGTCTTCTTCTCAAAAACCCACAACCCCAGTCTAACCAGGAGAAAATCATCAGTCTGCAAAGACTAACAAATCCCAAGATTGGCAGGCAAGACCGCAGCTAAGCTGCTAGCTCAAGTTCCAAGAACTGGCGTTCAGATGAGCAGCAGCCAGCTGCATGATCCAGCGCGAGCAAAAACCCCATGAGTCTTGCCAGAATGTCCACTTACATTCAATGCAGGCCACACGCCCAAGGAAACTCCCTTTCAACTGACGGGCTGCTCATAGCAGATCCCATCGTGGAGGTGATCACAACATCATACGACTGCCAAACCACTGAGAATCATGGCCCAGCCAAGCTGACACACAACCCTAACCATAAGAGGAACTCTCTACTGTCTTTCCAACTTTGCTATGAATCTTAAAAGAAAAAAAAAAAAGCCTCCCTATGTCACAGTAGTTAGGCAGAAGGTACTAATTTACAAATAACCTCCCTACCACAGAAAGGAGGCATTGTGGGTACTGAAAACAAACCAAAAAACTCTAATCATGTCCAACCACCCACCCCACATCCACATGAATTCCAACATGCTGTTGTTAAAATGACATAGTGACTATAATTCAGGGAGTTCTTACACTTTGATTCACAAATTTCTTTTAAATCAAAACATTACAGATAACTAAAAACACTGCCAGTAGTCAAACATTACATGTTGCAACTGCAAAGATAGCCAATCCTTCCACAATAAAAAGTGAACTTGACCAAATATCATCACGAGTAAAAGTGCAGCAATTACAGATCAATACAAATTCAGGAAGTATGAAGAAATCATATGTGAAAATATATGTGTGTATATATATATACACACCGTCACATATCTATATACCTATGTATATCCCTACATATACACACACACGTAAGTAATACACAGATATACACATATTGAAATATCTATACATATTAAAAAGTTGATCACAGTCAATGGCTTCCTCAAGCACGAGTTTAAGAGATCAAATTCAAGTTTAAATTTTTTGTCCCCTTTCTTAAGAACTGTCATAGCTGGGATTTGACCTTTGGTTTCATACTCAAAAGGCTTGTTTTTATCACAAGTCCCATTATTACCATTCTCATGACAGTATTTACCCTCCCTCATGACCAGTGTACTCTGAACCATTATCCAACAATAACTTCTAGATCTGCAAGGAAACTGCCTCACCTTTTATGATGGTTATGGTTCTGTGTCAACTTGGCTGGGGCATGATTCTCAGTGGCTTGGCAGTTATGTAATGATGTTACTGTCCTCCATTTTGTGATCTCCCATAATAAATAATATAATGTAATCACCTCCACGATATGATCTAATGTGAACAGCCAATCAGTTGTAAGGGGAGTTTCCTCTGGGGTGAGGGCCTGTACTCAATATATACGAACACTCTGGCAAAGCTCGCTCTTGCTCTGGCTCCTGCATCTAGCCTGTCACCATGTGACCTCTGGTTCTTGGGACTTGAGCTAGCAGCCTGCCATGTTAGCTGCCAATCTTGGGATTCATTAGCCTCCGCAGCCTGTGAGACAGCAGCCTGCCATCTGACTTGCCAATCTTGGGCTCGTCAGCCCCTGCAGCTACATGAGTCAGAAGAGGCCTCCAGTCTGACGCCTCCCCCACGAACTTGGGACTTGCCAACCTCTACAACTGCGTGAGCCATCTCCTTGAGATAAATCTTTCTCTCTCTATATATACATATCTACACTTCACTGGTTTTGCTGCTCTAAAGAACCCAGCCTAAGACATCCTTGCTCAGTCTCCCTGGTTCCTAAGGACAGATGCATGCAGTGTGGCTGGCCTAGTTTCCTAATGCACTGGATGCCAGGTCTGTCCTCCTCTCCATAAAATTAATGCATGGTGAGTATCTGTATATTTTCAGTAATGATGAAGAATTTGGAACTGTAAAGGTTACAATTTCAAAATTTCAGTAGTCTATTCTACTCACAATATAAGTATAATCTGCTTAGGATATAGTCTGGAAGGGGATCTGGTACGCTGTTATTTCACTCTGAAGTGTGTCTAAGGAAATCTGATAACCACAGCTATAGTAAGGCCTTGCTCCAATATAGGCTCATTTAAACCAGAAGTCTGTGACGTGATTCTCCCAGATTACAAGGATCCCTACATAGCACAGTCCAGTGGGCATTAGAATCTGTGTCCAATCTCGATTTCACTAATTCCAATCATATGAACATGGGCAAATCATTTAATAGCTCTAAACTGCAGTTCCCTCATCTGGAAAACAGTATCTATCTCAAAAGGTTATTTCAAGGATTAAATGAGCTACATGTAATCAACCAATAAATGCATTAGGTTACTGCGATATCCTGCATATATGAAACCTTATACACTACACTCTAAAGCTGAGCACATGTAAAAAACTTATTCTCTAATGAGGTTAAAATATCATTTACTATCAAGATACCTTAAGAAATCTATAAATATACAGAGAAATGCTAGCATTGCCTAACCTATGTTAACATAATCTGATAATCTGCAGAATTAGTAAAATGATTCATAAAGTGGATTTCCAGATGTCACAAAACACTGCATGATTTGATCCTGGCAAAACAGGTTTTGGGCTGTTTAATTTAGGCTAGATGAGAATATTTCACTCTTACTTTTACGACATACTGTAGTCACCTATTGTGAACACATGCCACTGGCACAATATTACAGCTGTGGCTTATCAGGTAAAGTATGAGCATTCTAACTCCCCAAGGGAGGCCAGCTGTCTCCACTCACCAGAGGACTGAGGGATTTCTTAAGACTGTACCTCAGACTGGGGCAAAGGCGAAGCTGGAGAAAGCTGAGGAGCACGGTGACATTTGAGTCTCCATAAGGAAGTAATTAGGATTCCTTTCGGCTCACAAAAAGAAAGAAAAATAATCCCTAATGCAGATCATAGGTCCCACTCTCAAACAGTTTATTTACAGGTAGCCTCTAATGTATTCACAAGAGGCAAAGAGTATATAATGTTTTCTTTGGGCATTAATCAGGGATGTTACACACACATCCCTATCTAACCACCACAGTAGAGACAATACCATGACCTTAGAATTTAGCTGTCTCCTCTCAGTGCCCCTGATACCGCCTGCCCAGCTGGAAAGAGACAGAGAGAGGAACATATCCTGCCTGTTTCTTTATTCAGTCTGTGAGCATTCGCTCATCCACCTGCTGTGCTCCTCTACGCTCCCGAGGTAAAGGTCCTACAATCAAAAATCACCACCTTCAAACAAGCAAGCCAAAGGGGGAACAGATTCCTTTGCCTCCTCTTTCCAAATCCTGCCTTCCCTCCCTTTCCACCATGAACTCTATGGTCTCCTCTAGCTATAAAATGTCCATGACTTGTTTAAAAAACAACAACAAAAAAAATTAAACGTCAAGAAAATGAAGGCTAGAGTTGAATCCTTCCCCAATTAACCATCTCAGGAAAAGGTCAAAATAACCCTCCCAGGGAGGCCTTTCTGCCCACATGAAGCCTTTTCCTCCATGCCCAGAAGCAAAATCCTCTCACTGGCATCTTTCTCATCATGTCCATTTACTCCTCTCTTCTACTTAGGCTCTGCCTTTCCTGGTGACAGGCTGAAAAATACACTGGTGGTGGTATGATACCAAATCTACATTTGTTTCCAGGATTAAATGCTTCCAGTAGTTAAAACTTGGAAAATACCTTCTAAAAAATTAAAACCTGAAAGTCGTAAAAGTGACCTAAATAATATATAATATAATAATATATAATCCTCTCATTTACATTCCTTCCCTTGAGTCTCAAAATTCATCAGACTTCAAGCAATGGTAAAGCTACACACACGTGTAAGCCACGCATGAAACACGGGCTATGTCTTCAGCCACCTGAGCTGTCAGCAGATGCTCAGTCACTTTGACAAAATATCTAAGAAGACATTAACAGGTTACTACAACCTACTATGGGCAACCAGGGTCTTAAAGATCAGTTCCCAAAGAATTACTAACCACAGGTGCAGTGTGGCACACGCTCACTTAAAATGAAAGGTCACTACCAACAGCAGTCAGAAAAAGCATGAAAGCAAACTCAGACCCATATGCAAATTAAGAGCAAATTCTAGCACATGTGTGAGCTAGGGCCACAGAGGCTCCAGAGCCTTCGTATGGAGAAATGATAGTCATGCTCTTTCAACAGTGGGCTACACGTGGGCGAACTTGCACTCTTTGTCCCTGCCTCACTGATGGGCCACACTGAGTCTTCCAAAGTGACAGGCACCTATTCCAAAGAACAATAAGCAGCATCAGGACAAATGATGCTACTACAGCCTCAAGTTTGTGGTTTGTTTTCATATTGCTCAATAGACTCATTAAGCACAGAAAGAAGCCAAGAATGCTACAGTGTGCTATACGTGAGGACGTTCACATGCACTGCTAGCTCTTTCTTTACAACTGTGTAACTCTGGGCAATTTCATAACCTCTCTGCCTCCCTATGTTCTTCTCTTTTGCAAAATGGAAGAGTTTTAGATGAGGAACACAAACTAGGTCTTACACAGTTTGCATCCCCTGCGCCAGGCACATAAAGTTGCCACTCAAATGTTTGTGGAATGAACTCTGTGATCTCTTCTAGCTATAAAATGTTTGTGTCTCTAGGATTATACCACTTAGTTCTCAAAAAATACAGTAATGTACTCAGGGTAAGAAATATCTTTTCTTTTGTAGTCCCTGCATATGGGTCAGATCATGACAGGCTCCACATTATCTGCTTCTAATCTGAGGGAGGCACCTGGCTGAAGAAAAATCAAAGTGCTATGATTACTAAGAGATAATAAACAAGAAAAATATTTTAAATAATTTAAAATATATAAAATATTATACATCTAATGCTTAAGAATTCTTGGAATAGTGAGAAAAATTAACATTTTTTAAAAGAATGGAACAGAATAATGCTAGTAAACATCACCATAAAAAATTAACTATACATTGTTTCCTACACCAAGCAAGATACTTCCAAAGCCACAAGTAACTTAAATTATATGTCTTTTAAGAATAAACAGACATTTCAAGTGTATACATTTACATTAGCTTCCAGAATGATCTATTAAAAAGAGTTGTCAGACCAAGGGCTGCAACCAACTGCCTTGAAATGAAATTTTCAAAATAAAAATCATCTCCAAAAAAAACAAAAATACCAACACACATAGGGGTGGGGGCACTAGTTGGGCACAGCATTGTCTGAGGTAACACACAGCCCACCTTAACCTCTCAATCATAACAGGAAATGCTTCACAAAGAAACCCGCATCCTCAGTATAGCTCCTTGATCTTCTCAGTTAGAATTTGGATTCAGCCTTTATAAATGGATTTGTCAAAGGTGCATCCAACTCCCTGGGTATCTTGGCAAGGGTAATCTAAATAGACTGACAAGGAAGGCTGCAGAGGTGTCAGCCATGAAAACTCTTGAAGACATAAAATGGGGAGTGGCAAACACCTGAGAACAGCAGTTCTACCCGTGGGCAACAGGGCAAATTCTGAGGTATCAGAGATCACTCTGCCTCCCCTTAGCTCTGCAGGGTTGAACAGGGGAATCTCACAGCCTTTGTCCTCTGAACACAGGAACTTTACCCAGGTTAAAGCACCTGCTTTGAACACTTAGGTGCTGGGGTGATAGGAGACACAACCAATTCTGTGGCAGACTACAGCTAAATAATCCTCAGAAAAAAATGACACTTAATACTAAAATCGCTTCTAACCCCAAATCCCACATTTCAGTTTACCAGTTAAAGAAATGGCTAATCAGTTTCTCTCAAAGAAAAAAAAAATGTTGATGGTGTAGTATTGAAATTATACCTTACTTCTTTCCTCTCAAAAATATAAATCCTCAAGTGAATCCTCAGAGCATAAGAAAGAGCAGGGAAACCGACCTGCGTCGTACTAGCTAGAGCACAGCTGTTAAATAAATAAAAGCTATTAAACAATCCTCAGGCACAAGTTCTTTCTCAGCCAACATGACCAGATCTAGCTTAAGTTCGGTATTTAAAAGGGCATTGCAATCCTGGAGTCAAACGACTTTTTCAATGTAGGCGACAGATACAATCAACAGATTCAGCTGGCATTAGGAGGAGGCTGAGCACGCTGTTATTTCGCTTAAGGTTAGGAGAGGCTTGAGCCCAAGGACAGGGGAGCTGAGAAGAGGAGGGGAGGGGAGAAAGGGTCTGACTCCTAAAGTTTGTTTCCGCAAGTGGTTAACACAACTCCGGGGAACAAACCCTAAGGCCAGTACTCTCCACAATCTCTTTTCCCTCGTTTTGCCATAATCCAAGACCCCAAAATAAAGGTACAGCTACCGCACAGCCCTTTGGTTACACAGGAGACTGGGACCTGCTCCTGGCACACAAAGCGGATGCCGGCAGCTAAGGACTACGCACGTGGGGGCGTTCGCTGACGCCGCGACCAGCTGGGAAGCCCACGCCCCCGCCCAGACTGGGGACAGCTGGTGACCATCACCTTCTACAGGCGCATTCTCCGAGCCATCCTCGAGGCTTGCGGGTACGGCTCGGCCCTTCCACGCTGCGAGGCGGGTAGGGCTGGACGCCCGGGGCACCTGAGGAGCGCAGCAGAGGCGGAGACGGCACCCAGACGCGAGCGGCCCTCCCGCGGGACCCACCTGGATCTGCAGCGGCACGAGGCGCACCTTGCAGCGCTCGCTCACCGCGAAGCCCTTAGGCAGGTCCACGTACTGGCCCCACTCCTCGGCGAAGAGCTGCACCACGAATTTGCGGTGCATGTCGATCTGGTCGCCGTACAGACTGAGGAACTTCTGGATAAGCAGCTCGTAGCCCGCGCCGTGCGGCACCGACGAGGGCCGCGCGAAGACCGAGAAGCAGAAGAGCACAGGGACCGTGCCCGACGGTGCCCCCGCGCCCACGCCGCCGCTGTTGGGGAGCGCAGGGACAACTGGCTCGGCCGCCGCCATGTTCCCGCGAGCGTCTGCAAGCTCCAAGGCCGCCGAGGCGCAGACACAGCCGGCCGCAGCGACCCCGCCTCCCAGCGCAGCCCGCCCGCCCTCCTCGGGAAGGCGAAGGGGCGGTCCTCGCGGCCGCAGTTCGCGCGCCTTCTCCCCGCCTCGGTAGAGGGCGGAGGGCCGCCGGGGGCGGGCGGCCGAGTAGTTGTGCGCGCGCGACCGCCTGCGCCCGCGGCCCCGGACCGCCCCCTCCAGCCTTCCCGGCTACGGCCTCGCCACAGCTCTCTGCGCGCGTCCCCGTCCCGCGGCCACGCGGACCGACCGCAGAGCGCCTTGCCTTTTCACAACCGGTGCCTGGCAGACCCGTGACCTGTCTCCACTACTCCTGTTGTTCTTGCCAGAGTTCTCTGGTCCACAGACGGGTTTAAGGCACCTCGCCTCCCTTGGGACGAGCGGTGTTCTGGGGGAGTTTAGAGTTGTGCTTGGGGACGTAGGATTGCCTGGACGAATCTGCTGGGACGCGCGTTACCTGTTGGCTTTGTGCAGAGGCCGTGAGCGTGCAGTTCCCTAGGACAGACTAATAAGACACCCTAAGAAGCTCACTAGAATTTAATGCTTATTTATGAGCGCCATCCAACGCTCAGAATTTCGTGCTTTAGTCCCACAGAACACAATATCACTAAGACTGGATTTGAAATCTTGGCCTATCTTTATCTCGACCCAATTTTCGGTAGGACTTGCATTGTGAGCTAACTGCAAGACATAAAGAGAGGCTTAAAAACAAAAATCTGAATTTTATATTCAAACTATGGGGATTTCTGTTTTTAAGTGTGTACAAGCCATCAACTTCAAATAAAACAATCCCCTGTCCTCTACAGACTCTAATGCACTATAGTTAACTGGGATTATGAGCAAATGTTCCCCCAACGAGTAAGTTCGCCCCCAATGGAGAATGCTAAGACCATCTTTGGAGTCCCCTGGTAACCCAAATGTTAGGGGTTGAGTCCACCCAGAGGTGCCTGGGAACAAAGGCCTGGTGATCTACTTCACAATTCTACTTTGACACCCATGGAGTCATCATGGGTCAGAATCGACACCACTACAACTGGTAAGATCATCTTTTGCCTTTTGCGCTCACTTGTACCCAAGCTACTGAAAATAGTCTGTTTTGTGGTTTCTCATCAAACCTTGAGAGATTCCATTTAAAACTCTGTTATCTGAACCCCTTTAATCCAAAATGGTATATTTGCAGTTATCACTCCTTTGCAAGGTCTCCAAAATGCAGGTGGACCTTTGCGTTAATAAGAGAAAGGCATCCTCCTATGCTGACTGATTACAAAAAGGAGCCTCCTCTGGGTGCACCAATTAGGAAAATGTTCTTTCCTTCTAAGCCTTTAAGGTGTTCTGGGACAGGGCAGCTTAGAGATCAGAGATTGACTTGGATTTCAGGCCCTTTTGACAAATACCTTTCCATCTACACAATCTTCTGTGGTGGTCCTGAATCAGCATACTTCATTCTGCTCAGAATTTTTAGATAGGTTTCTGAGTTATCCACTGTGCTACCTGAAATTGGCCTTTGGCAGTTTAATTTAATGGTGCAGTCTTCATGGTAATAGCACATCAAATAGCATTAATAAGATAGCTATATGACAAGCATAGTTACATTTATTGAGTGCCAACGTATGCCAGTGCATCACTATGCTAGAAAAGGACCATAAGTGAACATCTCACTGATAAATTACTCTTCTCGGAAATCTAATTTTTAGAGTAATAAAGGTAAGTTTTATAAATGTTATTGGAAAGAGTCAATGAATAAGAACCCATAAGCAGGTATTATAATCACAACTAGAAAATAACTTTCCTAATTGGCAAAATCACTATTATGGATAAAATGCCCAAAATAATCTCATATAAGACTGCTAAGAACTTTACCAATTGGTTACTTAAAGTTAAGCAGTTACTTTCAGAATTTAAATTCCAAGCAGTTTGAGAAGTTAGCCTACATAGTATCAATTAATATGTTAATATGCTGCAGAAACAACCCCCCAAAATCAGTGCCTTAAGGCAATAAAAGCTTGTTTCTCACTTTCTGTAGTTGACAACATTGGACAAGTTGATCAAGCTCTCCTTTTTTTGAACCATGTTCTTCACTTGGGCTCCTAATTCTGTTAGTTCTCCTTCTAACTCATTGGTTATTCATTTTCAGGCTCTTTCCCCAGGTTTTCAATTCCCAGACCTTTAAACATTTGAATACACTAGAGCTCTGTCTTCACATCTATTCTTTTAAGACCCATGGCTTTAAAGGTCTTTGATTTCCAAATTTATATTATCCAGGGCCTTACACCTGAATTCCAGACTCATATACAAGTGTCTCTTCAACACCTTCACTTGGATATCTAATAGATGTCTCACATTTAACTTGACCAAACAGAACTCTTGGTTTTGACCCTCCCCAAATATGCTTCCTCCCAAGTTAACATCTTAGCAAATGACATCTCCATTTTAGTCACTGAGTACAATAACCATGAGTTTATCCTTTATTCCTTTTTCCTGACCTCTTCAATCCATCAGCAAGACCTGATGGTCAGAATCCAACCACTTCAGTCTATCTCAGTGTACCACCCAGGAGCAAACCACCATCATCCCACAACTGATTATAACAATATCCTCATAAATGGTGACTGTTCTTTGACTTTTGTATCCCTACGGTCTATTCACCACATGACAATCAGAGTGATACTCGAGAAACATAATTTCAGAGCATATCACTCTTCCGTTCAAAAGCCTCCAGTGCATAGAAAAATATCCCAAAACCCATTTGGAATTAAGAGGAAAAAAAAAAAAAACTCTCAAGCAGCTTTTGTAAGTATCCATTGTGATGGTGACAACGATAATGCTCATCAGAGAGGATCTACCATAGGAGAGACACTATACCACCAGGTAGAAAACCGCCATCTATAAAGGACCCTTACTAATCAATAAAAAAAATCCAATTAAAAATGAGAGAAAAGACTTAACGGACACTTCACAAAATTAGATAAACAAATGTCTAACAAGCACATAAGAAAGTGCTTAACATCAGTAGTTGTCAGGAAAATGCAAATAAATCCACCAAAAAAATACCACTTCACACCCACTACAACAGCTAAAATTACAAAGACAATAGAAACAATATGAAACAACTGGAAAGTTTATACATTGCAGACAGGTATATAAAAAGGCATACCCATTTTGGAAAAAAATGGTATGGCAGTTTCACATAGGTAAACATGCATCTGTCCTTTAAGACCAAAATATCAATCCTAAGTATTTACTCAAGAGGAATAGAAATGTATGTCCACAAAAAGACTTGAACACAAATGTTCACGGAGCTTCATTTACAATAGCCAAAACTGGAAATAAACCAAATATCCATTAACAACATGAGATTGGATAAACAAATTATGATATATTCATACAATGGAATACCACACAGAAATAAAGAAGAATGGATATTTGATACACACAACAACAAGGATGAATCTGAAAAAGTATTATGTGGGGCAAAAGAAGTTAGATACAAAAGAGTGCGTACTGTATGACTCTGATCAAATAAAGTTCAAAACAGACAAAACTAATCTCTGGTGATAGAAGTCAGAACAATGATTGCTTGTGGGGATAGAAGTGATTGGAAGGGGGTCACAAGAAAATTTTGGGAGTGTTAGAAATATTTTATATTTTATTTGCATACTTAAGACCTGTGCATTTTACTATATGCAAATTTTTTGCCTTAAAATAATTTAAAAGAGTACAATCCAACATCTTAAATTATGTCTCTGGTCCTAATCTATCACTGGCTCTCTCTGCTCCAGACCCCCTGGCCCTTTGTTGTTCCTCATCCTTTATACTTGCTATTCCTTATGCTTGAAAATACTCTTCCCCCAGATAGCCACACAGTTTTGCTCCCTAATTTACGTCTGTGTTCAATGAAGACCTCAAGTCAACCTCACCACCTTCTATAAAGTATCACCCCTCTCCATCACAATCTGTACCCATATTCTGCTTTAGTTTTCTTCTCCTTCTTAGCACTTACCACCATTGTATACAAGAACAGAGACATGTTTCTTTTGTTCACTGCTGTATTTCCAACCCCTAGGACACTGCCTGGCACATAGTAGGCTCCTTACAAATGTCTGTTGAAGAGTTGTTTACACAGAACATATGTTCAAGGTAACTATACTGAAAAAATCAAAAGTAATATTTTTGGGGTGAATGCTATGTCTACATTGTAAATTAATCCCAGGATAGCTATTAATAGAGGATTACTGGATTTGCCCGGCAGGCTTCATACAAGATTATCTGGCTCCTTTTATATTTTCTGGAAACTTTGTGATAAGGAAGACAAACAAAGTAAAGTATCTAAACAGCTTTTACATCCTTCTCCACAGAGAATTCTGAGAATTTTCTGCAGAGGAAAGGAAGAGTGTCAAGATGAAATTTTCTAGAGAGATGCAATCTACATTTGCATTAATATCAAATTAAATTGCTTGGATTTTTCATCTATTTAGTTGATCAGCAAGCTTATGCACTAAGGATTCTGTAGAGAATAACAAAGACCCCTGCTCTTATCTGGCTTACATTCTACTGGGTATAGGTAGACAATAAACATGTAAACAAATAAATGAATAAGATAACCCTAGTTAGTGACAAAGGAGCCCTGGTGGCAGTGGTGCTAACTGAAAGGTTGGTGGTTCAAACCCACCAGCAGCTCTGAGGGAGAAAAGACCTGGCAGTCTCAGAATAGACTTGAGAGCAGTGGATTTTGGTTTTCTCTTAAAGATTACATACAGCCTAGGAAAGCCAATGGTGCAGTTCTGCTCTGTCCTATAGGATCACTATGAGTCAGAATCAACTGGATGGTAGTGGGTTTGTTTTTCTTGATATAACGCATCAAGAGGAGATGGTGGATAGATAAGTAGTTGCGTAGATGAATCTCCTGTGAAGATAAGAAAGGAGTCTCGAGATATAAATCTGAGTGATCAGTA